AGTATCACCTGAAGTGCAACAGAACTTCTTTCTCTCCACAAATCATATGCTCAAAAATTTTTTTCCTTTTTGAGACACAGCCCATGTAGTTCCAGCTGGCTTCAAACTCACTATGTAGTTTTGGGGGGTTTTTTGGTACCGGAGATCAACTCGGGTCCTTCCACTTGAGAGGCAGGCACTGGAACCACTGAGCTAAATCCCCAGCCCTGACCTCTACTCTTGTTGATCCTCCCAAGTGCTGGGATCACAGGTGTGAACTACCATGCCTAGCTACTCTATAGTAGTTACTGCTCTTCTCTCAATTTCTTGTGGTTTCCAACCTTAAGATTTCTTTGACATTTCCTTTTATCCTATACCCATCACTCATCAGTTGCTTCCTCCAGCATATCATCTGAACTCATTCTTGTTAATAGTGGTCTTCAAGGCACTCCACTTCCATCACACTTAACTCCACCCTCCCCTAGCTTTACTCTAAAGCACTGCTTCTGGCACCTGGAATGGTGGTACGTGCCTGTAATCTCAGCACCCTAGAAGTTGAGGGAGAAAAAAAAAAGAAGTTGAGGGAGGAGGACTGCCTCAAGTTCAAGGGCAGCCTGAACTGCGTATTGAGACCCTGTCTCAAAACAAACAAAAAACTACTGCTTTCATCATAGTACTCCCCTATCCCAAACCTCAATTTCCTGACTAAATACAAGCTCCTATTATTGACATATCCTGCCTATATCACTTATTTGTTTTCAATCCTTAATTTTTCCCAATAAGATGCTTCCCATCTAATTAGGTTGGTCATCTCATCTCATGAAGTTCCTTTTGTCTCTTGACCTTATAACCAACAAGAAGCTAATACCACTCTACAACCATCTTTTCAGCTATAAATATAAATTTTTATTTATTTATTTATTTTTGGTTTTTTGAGGCAGGGTCTCCCTTTGTAGTTCAGGCTGGCCCTGAACTCACTATGTAGCCCAGGCTGGCCGCAAACTCACAGCAATCCTCCTGCCTCAGCCTCCCGAGTGCTGGGATTACAGGCATGTGCCACCATGCCTGGCTTCAGCTATAAATTTAGATCTAATCAAAATTGCTTCTATGTAACTTTGTTAAAAAAAAAAAGCTAGGGCCGGGGATTTAGCTCGGTGGTTTCGCAGCCTGCTGCACAAGCTCAAGGACCCTGGTACCAAAAAAAAAAAAAAAAAAAAACAAAAATTATGGTATCTTCTTTCTTAGCATTTTGTAATACAATCAGCTAATTGCTTAGCTCGGGAAGACACATCCAGAGAATCACAGACTTCGGTTCTATTGAGTCTAGATGGCTACTGTGTGTGCCAGGCATGGCTCCAATCCTGTCACATGTATTG